GGTTTGCACACCCCATTTTCCTGTCACTGCATACACAGCAGAAGGAAAATAATCAGGGTCATCAATAAAATGAGAGTATTGTCCATGCCAACCTGCCACCACTGTTCCTCTCACAAAAGCCAGATGTATATCCAAAATGAAGAGAAAGCCCTCAGACAATTATGCACAATGTCAAGAGAGGCAATACTTGTCTTAGGACTCAGTTCTGATAACCCAGCTGGAGGGTCTCAGAAAGAGAAACTGTCCCAAAGTTTGGTACTAATTTTTCCAGGAGTCTCCTGAAGCCACTTCCAGAATACGAGTCCTTGAGAAACAAGAGTTCTTAGAAAGTAATAGTCCTCTTAAGGTAAAGATACTCATGGAGAAAGGTCTTCATGGAGGCAATATTTAAAGGGGAATATGGCCTCTTGGGAGGATTAGTACTCAGATGGAACAGGTCCTTATGGGAAAAGAGACTCTAAGGGTAGGGTCCTCATGGAAAGAAGGTTCTCATGGGTGAGGGATCCTCATGAAGTAAGAGTTCTTAAAGGGAAAAGGTCCTCATGAACAAATGTTCTCATAAGGAAGGATTCTCATGGGAAGGGTTTTGTTGGAGTAAGAGTCCTCCTTGTTTTAGGATTCCTACAGGAGAAGGATGCTCATGAGGAGAATTCCCTCAGTGAAGAGGCTCTACCAGGTTCCTCTACCAAGATTCCTCTACCAGGACTCTTCTCCATGTGACCTTCCTAAGAAGAGTGGGAGATGTAAGAATTCCATGATGAAGAAGAAAAGCAAGGAATCTAATAATAGCAAATGTACATTAAACACCTACTATGTACCAAGTAAGCCTGACCCCCTTTACAGTACTAGCTCAATTAATCCTTAAAAAGTCCCAGAAGGTAGATACTATTATCATATCCATTTAGCAAGGATGAAACTAAAGAACAAGGCTAAGTAAGCCATCTGAATTATACAACTGGTAAATAGTAGAACCAGAACTTGAATCTAAAATGCAGCTTCTTACCCAGTACACTAACCTACAGTAAGGCCAAAGGCCTTACATTATTCTGACTCAGAAAGAAGTCAGAGGTTATAACCCTGGAATCAGGATCTCACAGTTCTATAGGCTTTCTTGCTCTCCTATTTTCTTCACTCTGGGGTACCTTCTGCCCAGAGGAGTAAATAATACAACTCTAAAAACAGAAAGGTTTTAATTTGTTCAGGACATTTGTTCAGGACAGCTAGAGAGACTGATTTCTCACACAACCAATCTCTGGAATATGAAAACCCAAAGCTGTAGTAGGTAGTGGTGATTATTGAGGAAAAAACATCTGGATAGGTCCTTGAAGGATTGGTATAAGAAAAGAGTCAGCTCAAGGAGCTGTTCTGGACCTGAAGAAGAAACTTCCCAAGGGTCCTCAGCCCTCAGCAGAAGTTCCTATGACAGGCTGAACTCCAATATAAAACCAACCTTGAGACACTGGCTGAGGCCCATCACTTGCACCTGGTCACCAGCCCAGAAAAAAAAAAAAAAACTCTGCCTTCATATTTGGACTATGTTCCTTCCTGGACCCTGCCTAAATTGTAATCCTACATGTTGCAGAAACAGCACACCAATCTTCTTTTTTTCAAATCTGGCCAATGTGCTTCCTAAGACTTCTAAACCAAAGAGACACCCAGATATAAAGCAAAAAGAAGACAGGTGGAACCACCAACAAACAAAAAGGCAACCTACTGATTGGGAGAAGATATATGCAAATTATATATCCAGTAAGGGGTTAATATCCAAATTACATTAAGAATTTATAAAACTCAAAAACCAAAAACACAAGTAATCTAATTAAAACCTGGGGGAAAAAACCTGAATAGACATTTTCCCAAAAACATATGATGGCCAACAAACACAGATAGAGAGACGCTCAACATCATTCATCATCAGGGAAATGCAAATCAAAACTACAATAAGATATCACCTCATATTTGTCAGAATGGCTACAATCAAAAACACAAGAAACAAGTGTTGGCAGGGATGTAGAGACAAGGGAACCCTCTTGCACTATTGGTGGGCTCAAAAAGCTGTCAGCTCAAAAGCTGTCAACAGTCAGACTCCTCATTACATAGAACAATCAGACTGCTGGCTGACTGACTTCTCTTCAGAAACAATGGAATCAAACAGAAGATAGTGGACTCATACTTTCAAAGTGCAGAAAGCACAATACTACAAATCTAGAACTCAATACCTGCAAAATACAACTGGAGAATGGAGGTGAAACAAAGACAAATAAAAATGGGAAGAATCTAGAACACACTTACGGTAAAGAACAAAGGCAGAAAGAAAATGACTCCACATGGAGGCTTGGAGATACAGGAAGGAACAAAGAACAACAAAAAGCCAAATATGTAAGTCAACCAAAATGAATGCTTCCTGTATAAAATAATGATAACAATAATAATTATTATTGTTAATTGTGTTTTATTAATAATAATTATTAGTATTGTGTTTAAAATGTAAAGTCTGGGGTGCCTGGGTGGCTCAGTGGGTTGAAGCCTCTGCCTTCAGCTCGGGTCATGGTCCCAGGGTCCTGGGATCAAGCCCCGCATCGGGCTCTCTGCTAGGCCGGGAGCCTGCTTCCTCCTCTCTCTCTCTGTCTGCCTCTGCCTACCTGTGATCTCTGTCAAATAAATGAATAAAAAAAAAAATCTTTAAAATGTAAAGTCAACTAAAATGCACAACAATTGTATATAAATTGATAGGAGGTTAAATGAAGTTAAAATTTTTAACATGGTCCATGAAGAGGATAGTAGTTCCAAATAATATCAGACTTTGACAAGTCCAAGACAGACACTATAATCTCCAGAGTAATCATCAAAATATAAATACTTAAAAAAAGAAAAATCAGGTGGGCATCGAGGCTGGAAGAGAAAATCATAGATCGGCTTATGGAGTGTGTGATTGTGTGTAGGAGGGAGATTTGGTGAATTTCCTGTTGGGCTCAGCATTATCCAAGCAACATTTAATATCAGTAGACAATGGTGCAATATCCATAAAGTTCTGATTAAAAAGAAGACATATTCATTAATTGGATACCTAGACAAGTCATTCTCCAAGTACAAATGCAACTGAGAAATATCCTGAAAGATGAAAGAACTCAGGAAATCTAACACTGTGAACCTCTCATGAAGAAAATTGTTAGAAAAATAAAATGAATATAAATAGCAGTAAACCAAAGTAAAGAAAATATAAATGCAATGCCAAGGTAAAAGAAATGCTGATGATGTGTTTTCAAATAGGAAAAAAAAATGACCACTGTGGGAATCACAGTTAGAGAAAAGGCTGTAAAAGTTATAAAACTTGGCAACGTTAAAATAAGATAACTAATAAAATCAGCAGTGTTAAGGAAATAACAGAAGAAAGTATGTTTGCTAATTCTTCAACTTTTATAGCAAATATTTCCAGATACCTTCCAAAGTTAAATTATATGGTTCAAACATAATTCCAAACTCTTGAATTTTTTTCATACTAAAGAATCTTTGAAATTAATATATTTTGTAATAAAAACCTAATTATCTTAAGTATAACTGTTTTAATTTTAATTTATTTTGTACTCTTAGGCAATTCTTCTAAACTTCTACCTACATACTCAGTTCTTTTTCTCCATTATATGCAGAGAGAGAGGTTTGAAGTGATTTTCACCAGAATGTTACTGATTATCTCTAGGATTTGTTTTTTGTTTTGTCTCTGGGGAGTGGAATTTGGAAGAATTTTTCTCTTCCTATGACCCTTTCTCCATTGCTTGAATGTTTTATGATGAGCAAGTAGTATTTTTTACGTAATAAAAGTCACTTTTCTAAAAGAAAGATAGGGCACCTGGGTAGCTCAGTAGGTTAAGTCTCTGCCTTCAGCTCAGGTCATGATCTCAGGGTCCTGGGATCAAGTCCCACATCAGGCTCTCTGCCTACTTGTGATCTCTCTCTGTGTGTCCAATAAATAAAATCTTTTTTAAAAAATTAAAAATATAAAAGAAAGATAAACAACAAAATGAGAGAAGTATTTGCAACATATATGACAAGCAATAGCAATATACAGCCATATAAACACCACCAGGAGGAATTAAACACTAGAAGATATTGGCATAGGACATGAAGTCAGTTCACTAAGAAAAAATACAAATATTGGTAAGAAATAAATAAAATGCTCTACTCCATTAATTATCAAGCATGAAAAACTCGATAGAAATAAGATATAAATATTCATTAATCATATAGGCAAAAATTAGAAACATTATCAGTCTACATTTGGTGAACAACTTCTAGTACTCACTTCTTATATGCTACAGCCATGTAGTTTGGAATACACAAAATGTACTGTGCTTTTTTCAGTATTGTGAGTTTTAGGCAAAATCAGGACACTGATGGGATATGAGTGGGGGCAATACAGACCCATGCATAGAATTCTTTTCATGTTCTAGTTCTCTTCCCAAATTTTTAATCTTGTCTTTTATCCCAAGTTCCTTAAATGCATTTGTGCTACTTTACAGTGATTTCCAACACAATCTCATCACTTTGAATCACCAAAGGCAACCAGAATTTTCATCTGCTACTAATGGGTGTATGAAATGGTACAATCACTTCAAAGAACTGTTTGCAAGTTTCTAATAAAGCTAAAATACATTGACACTATACCCCAGAAATTCCACTCCTAACTATGTACCTGAAAGCACTCAGTATCTAAATCTGTAAACCTTGGGCAGGAATATTCACAGCAGTTTTCCTTATAATAGACAAAAATAGAACACAAACCAAATGTCCATCAACAGGAGCATGATTAAACTGGTTCATCCGGGTAATGAGCTACCGCTCAAAAATTCAAAGGAATGAGCCACTGATCATACAACAACGCATGTGAACTTCACAGACATTATTTGAGCAGACGAGTACACATTATATGCTTTCGTGTATTTGAAGTTCTGGAACAGGGACAACGTACCTATGGTGATAAATGACAAAATAGAGGCTATCTTTGGGGATTGGGCTATTGACTGGAAAGGGACATGAGAAAAACTTCAGGGGTAAGAGAAGTGTTCCATATCTTAATCTGAGTGTTGATTATATAGCTATATGCAAAAGTTAAAATTCTTCTAACTGTCCATTTATGATTTCTGCATTTTAAATAAATTTAAATTGTTGGCTTGAAAGAAAGGCCATTTGCCCCACCCACAAGGAATAGAATATCAGTGGCTGCTACATGTCTAAGCCTTGCACCTTCTCTCCCAACACTTAGTAGATTCCTGGTTGCCTGGGAACCACCAGAGCCTGGGAAGAACCTGAAGAGCTGGATGGATTCAGTCCAAGGAGAGAAAGGGGTGACTGACCTCATTTCATTACTTTGGATGGAGCTGTATCTATGCTGTTTGGTAAAACAGCACAAATGTAAACGAGGTGTAAACTGCTTTCACATCTCATTTAGGGAACAGATGAGGCGTGAAATGCATTTCACAGGCACAAGTACTGGAGGGGTATGCTTAGCATGGTGCAATGTAGAACATTTGTTCCTCATCCCTCAGGGATGCTGGATTATTTCTGAACATGGCTACTGTAGGGACAGGAGAAGGGGGTGGGGGTGTCAGTGCAGGGGGAGGAAGAAGGGCTCTGCTGTCTCCTGTACTTGTGACACCTACCTTCCTTCCTCCACCTGACTACCTCCTCCACATCTGTTAAAGTCCAGCTCAGGCATCGCCTCCCTACTCTTTGCTTACTCCCACTGATTCATGGCTCTCCCCTCGGGTCACCTACAGTACTTGGCTCAGCACACAAATCTGTCACTTATTGTCCTCTGCTTTGTATTACAAAGACAAGGAATATGTACCATTCTTGTCATCCACTGGTGGAATCCAGTAGTTGCTCAATTGACCCTTAAGGAATGAATGTGAACTGAGGCAGGGGAAATAGGGAGGGAGAATAATGTACCTCAGGATGACATTTTAGCAGTCAAGACTTCTTCAAACACCCAAAAGAAATATAAAGTTCCAGAGACAATTCAAAATCTTAGATGACATATCATTTTATACTTCTCTCAAAGACAAACACATATACACCCTTCAGGGTAAGCTTATGTATAAAGATAAATGTAGCAGTTATGTTCTTCTTCCTTTTTTTAATTATTAAAGAAATGGTTTGCCCCCTTTTGTAAGAGGAACTTTGATATCTCAGATTGATAACTGTTACATCTCTATCACCATTTTAAAATATTTGGCTGGTTTTATAGACCTTTGCCAGAAAACAGAAGATCTTTTTAAAGAAAACAGTTTGGGGCTTACATTCCCAATGCTGCAGCTTGATAGCAATTATATATGTCTCTGTGTGAACTGCAACTTATATACTGAATTTTTTCCCTACTTAGGTGACCAAAATGAGGAAGATTCCAGGCTATAACACACATGAAACTATCATACCAAAGGTTTTTCATTTAGACAATTCCAGAAATCACTGAGAAATTGAGATGGAGTAACATATTGTGAAATAAATATTTCATTTAGATTTAGAAGATCTGAGATCAAGCCTTGCTTCAAACTTGACCTTGACAAATTACTTAACATCTCAAGATCTTCATTTCTTCCTAGGCAAAAGCTGATTGATTCTGGGGTACAGTGTACACTCATTCTATGGCCCAATGATTGCTTTCTCCAAGGAATATATTTCAGACAAGTACCCAAATTCAGATGCATGAGGATATTCATCCCAGCACTGCTTATAAAAGGAGAAAGTTGGAAACAATGTGAAAGCTTCTAAATGGGGGCATGGATCAATAATATCTGCATATGAAAAGGACACATATACCTACTTAGATGGGTCTCAAAGACAAAAGGTTGAGAGAAAAATGAGAGACGCAGTTTGGAATTTATAGCACAATAGCATTTAGGTAAAGAAACACTCAAGATAGAGGAGAATTAGTATTAGAGATGAAAGGGACAAAAGTAATATAAAATATTGACAAAATAAAAAGAGACTGTATCTGAAGTAATGTCAAATGAGAGACATTAAACGTTGGTTTAGCAAAATAGAGACAGAGAAGGATAGGCAACTATTTCTAGGTGAATAAGGTTTTACTTCCCCTGATTAACTCAAGTGAGAGCCAAAACCCTCAAGACTTTTCAATGGCTTTAAACATGGCCTGAGATTTTGACATCATCTTCTGTATTTGGAAAAAGTTTAGGCCCCATGTGTTTAAATGGGATACTCTGCACAATGGAAGTGCCAGATTGTCACAGATTTTACTCAGTATTGACAATCAAGGCATTTTTTTAATTGTTAATGCAATGTTAATTGGGACCATGCTAACATTTAATTAATTTTAAGTACAATAGATCATTTGTCAACAAAAGGGGGTAAAAATATTAATTGAAACACATGTGAATGGTTATTTGCCATGTGTAGGAAACACCCTACCATTAAAGTTAATCACAGTGTGATTAATTGATTTTAATTGATTCAAGATGGGTTCCTGTGGCAAACATAAGTCTGTCAATAAAACTTACAATTAAGCCTCATTATGAAAAGCAAAGTTACTAAGACAAGCACCAACAGGCAGAGCAGCAGCAGACTATTTTCCTTATGATTTAGAAGGAAAGAAAGGACAGCATTTCAGGGAGAATGAAAAGTCCCAGAGACTGGGCATTTGGGGAAAGTAGAAGAGATGATCAGAGAACATACTTGAGTCTGGGAAATGGAAACTGACTGATGAAAGCTCTGGAGATGAGAGGGTGGTAGGGAGCTGAGTCCAGTGGTGGATGGGGAAGGCCAGTGGGGGCAGCAGCTCTATCCATCAAGTACAGAGATGAGAAAGGCTCTGAAACGCAATGGGGTATACAGATGCAGGGAGCCAGAGTGTTTCAGAGGCTCTGAAACACACTGGAATGGACAGGATCACAAGTCTTATAAAACAGGAGTGAACTTTCCCTACAAAAGAGATGTTAAGTTGAATCCTTTGCTGATTAACATGGATGGGGCAATCAAAGCCTCCAGGGAGCTGGGTCACAGTCATGACTGCTGTTCAGAATGTTGGATGTCCACATGGAACTCCAGGAAGTCTTTAGGATGCCTAGCTTTGCACATGATTCTCATTGGCCTACAAGGCCAATGCATTCATTCACTTACTATTACTCCGGAAATTCAAGTGATTGTCATTTGTTTTCATTATAAGCAGGGGATATGAGGCTTTCCATGATAATGTCCCATAAAACTTCCATGATTTCTACTCCCTCACCCCATGAGGGAAAGTTGGAACCCACCAACAAAGTGCTTTTTCCAGGTATTGGATATGAGTATAAAAACTTTTTATCTCAGTTTGAATTACTCCAAAAGTACAGCTGTAGCATAATTAATACATTTGGTCACTGTCCCCAGTTCTTGCCAGAATTTCAAATACCTTGGAGCTTCCTTTAGTGATAGGAGTGTCTTTGTTATGCTAATGAGTGACTTAAGACAGTAGCCTCTACATAGCTTCAAGATATGAACTGGTCACCAAAAAGACCAACCAAGTAATTAGAGAATTGGAATTATGGGCCAGCCCAATATATGGGAAAGGAAATGGAGCTGGAGATTAAGCTCAATCATGACTTAATCAGTGAATTAATCAATAATAATTATTAACCCATAATAATCAGGAATAATACCTATGTAATGAAACTCCAAAAGTAACTCTGGATACCAAGGCTCAGTGAAGCTTCCTCATTGAACATACTGATGTGCAGGATAAATGAGGTACCCAGATTGCACAGAAAGAGGACATGGAAGCTCTGGTAACCCTCTTAGAGGTTGCCCTATCCATCTCTTTCAAATGGCTCTTCCTGAGTTACAACATTTTTTTTTAATTTTTTTTAAATTTTATTTTTTATAAACATACAATATATTTTTATCCCCAGGGATACAGGTCTGTGAATCGCCAGGTTTACACACTTCACAGCACTCACCATAGCACATACCCTCCCCAATGTCCATAACCCCACCCCCCCTCTCCCAACCCCCCTCCCCCCAGCAACCCTCAGTTTGTTTTGTGAGATTAAGAGTCACTCATGGTTTGTCTCCCTCCCAATACCATCTTGTTTCATTTACTCTTCTTCTACCCCCTTAACCCCCCATGTTGCATCTCCTCTCCCTCATATCAGGGAGATCATATGATAGTTGTCTTTCTCTGATTGACTTATTTCGCTAAGCATGATACCCTCTAGTTCCATCCACATCATCGCGAATGGCAAGATTTCATTTCTTTTGATGGCTGCATAGTATTCCATTGTGTATATATACCACTTCTTCTTTATCCATTCATCTGTTGATGGACATCCAAGTTCTTTCCATAGTTTGGCTATTGTAGACATTGCTGCTATAAACATTCGGGTACACGTGCCCCTTCGGATCACTACATTTGTATCTTTAGGGTAAATACCCAGCAGTGCAATTGCTGGGTCATAGGGTAGTTCTATTTTCAACATTCTGAGGAACCTCCATGCTGTTTTCCAGAGTGGTTGCACCAGCTTGCATTCCCACCAACAGTGTAGGAGGGTTCCCCTGTCTCCGCATCCTCGCCAGCATCTGTCATTTCCTGACTTGTTAATTTTAGCCATTCTAACTGGTGTGAGGTGGTATCTCATTGTGGTTTTGATTTGTATTTCCCTGATGCCGAGTGATGTGGAGCACTTTTTCATGTGTCTGTTGGCCATCTGGATGTCTTCTTTGCAGAAATGTCTGTTCATGTCTTCTGCCCATTTCTTGATTGGATTATTTGTTCTTTGGGTGTTGAGTTTGCTAAGTTCTTTATAGATTTTGCACACTAGCCCTTTATCTGATATGTCATTTGCAAATATCTTCTCCCATTCTGTCAGTTGTCTTTTGGTTTTGATTACTCTTTCCTTTGCTGTGCAAAAGCTTTTGATCTTGATAAAATCCCAATAGTTCATTTTTGTCCTTGCTTCCCTTGCCTTTGGCGATGTTCCTAGGAAGATGTTGCTGCAGCTGAGGTCGAAGAGGTTGTTGCCTGTGTTCTCCTCAAGGATTTGGATGGATTCCTTTCTCACATTGAGGTCCTTCATCCATTTTGAGTCTATTTTCATGTGCGGTGTAAGGAAATGATCCAATTTCATTTTTCTGCATTTGGCTGTACAATTTTCCCAACACAATTTATTGAAGAGGCTGTCTTTTTTCCATTGGACATTCTTTCCTGCTTTGTCGAAGATTAGTTGACCATAGAGTTAAGGGTCTATTTCTGGGCTCTCTATTCTGTTCCATCGATCTGTGTGTCTGTTTTTGTGCCAGTACCATGCTGTCTTGATGATGACAGCTTTATAATAGAGCTTGAAGTCCGGAATTGTGATGCCACCAACTTTGGCTTTCTTTTTCAATATTCTTTTGGCTATTCGAGGTGTTTTCTGGTTCCATATAAATTTTAGTATTATTTGTTCCATTTCTTTGAAAAAAATGGATGGTACTTTGATAGGAATTGCATTAAATGTGTAGATTGCTTTAGGTAGCATAGACATTTTCACAATATTTATTCTTCCAATCCAGGAGCATGGAACATTTTTCCATTTCTTTGTGTCTTCCTCAATTTCTTTCATGAGTACTTTATAGTTTTCTGTGTATAGATTCTTAGTCTCTTTGGTTAGGTTTATTCCTAGGTATCTTATAGTTTTGGGTGCAATTGTAAATGGGATGGACTCCTTAATTTCTCTTTCTTCTGTCTTGTTGTTGGTGTAGAGAAATGAAACTGATTTCTGTGCATTGATTTTATATCCTGACACTTTACTGAATTCCTGTACCAGTTCTAGCAGTTTTGGAGTGGAGTCTTTTGGGTTTTCCACATATAGTATCATATCATCTGCAAAGAGTGATAGTTTGACTTCTTCTTTGCCAATTTGGATGCCTTTAATTTCCTTTTGTTGTCTGATTGCTGAGGCTAGGACTTCTAGTACTATGTTGAATAGCAGTGGTGATAACGGACATCCCTGCCGTGTTCCTGACCTTAGCGGAAAAGCTTTCAGTTTTTCTCCACTGAGAATGATATTTGCGGTGGGTTTTTCATAGATGGCTTTGATAATATTGAGGTATGTGCCCTCTATCCCTACACTTTGAAGAGTTTTGATCAGGAAGGGATGCTGTACTTTGTCAAATGCTTTTTCAGCATCTATGGGGAATATCATGTGGTTCTTGTTCTTTCTTTTATTAATGTGTTGTATCACATTGATTGATTTGTGGATGTTGAACCAACCTTGCAGCCCTGGAATAAATCCCACTTGGTCGTGGTGAATAATCCTTTTAATGTACTATTGAATCCTAGTATTTTGGTGAGAATTTTTGCATCTGTGTTCATCAAGGATATTGGTCTGTAGTTCTCTTTTTTGATGGGATCCTTGTCTGGTTTTGGAATCAAGGTGATGCTGGCCTCATAAAATGAGTTTGGAAGTTTTCCTTCCATTTCTATTTTTTGGAACAGTTTCAGAATAGGAA